CGGATCCAGGGGGCCGAGCGGGCCTTGCCCCCCCCCCCCCCCCGCCAAAAAAAAAAAAAAAAGGAGAGAGAGAAGGAAAAGAAGGGAAATGGAAAGAGGAGAGAAAGGGAAAAAAGAAGACGAAGAAGAAAATAAAAGAGGTAAGGTGGAGATCGGGGGGACTTGCCTTCCAGGCTGTTGCCTCCCCCCCCCCCCCCCCCCCATCAAAAATAAAAGAGAAGGAAGGAAAGGGAAAGAAAAAAAAAGGAAAAGAGGAGATAAAGGAAAGGAAAAAAGAGGAAGAAGAAAAGAAAAGAAGGGGATATCAGTTGCAATTTTCCCGCCAAAAAGTTGTGGATCGGGGGGGGGGGAGGGGGCAAAAGGCCCTTGCTCCCCCCCCCCCGTCCCCGCTAAAAAAAGAGAGAAGGAATGAAAAGGAAAAGAGGAGAGCTAAAAGGGAACAAAAAGAGGAAGAAGAAAAGAATAGGGAAAAAGTAAGGGGAGTTCAGTTGCGGTTAATCCCGTCGACAATGTGTGGAGCGGGGTGCATGGGGGTCAAAATGACCTTGCCCCCCCCCCCCAGTAAACCTAAAAGAGAGAGAGAAAGAAAGGAAGGGAAAAGGAAAGAGAAGAGAAAGGGAAAGAAGAAAAAAAGAGAATGAAGAAAGGTAAGGGATATCAGTTGCAAGGTGTAGATCGGGGGGGGGGGGGGAGCTTTGGGGAAATAAAATTCAAACGTGGTTTATTTATTATTCCATAACGGTGGTTTACAAATAGTGCTGAAATGACATTATTTTCCGAGATTTGTCCTCACTTTTAAGTAAATTATACTTTTTTATGCGTTTGTTGGAAAATGACAAATTCCTAAATTTACAGCCAGGCAAGAAAATGCTTCTCGAGATGCCTACATGTCAGGGCCTGCGGAACAGCGGGGATCGGGATCCTCGAGGCCCTCCCCCCCCCCCCCCCACTTTTTTTGAAAAATATATTAAAGAGAAATAGAAAAAAAGAGAGCAAGAAAGAAAAAAAAGTTAAATGCCAGTGTCACATTATAATGAGGTATCAAAATATGCTCATCTGTACATGAGTAAATGTCTAAAACCCCGAGGGCTCTGCCCCCTGGATTCCACCTAGGACCCTAAGGCGGGCCCTTAGATGCTCATCTGACGGTAATTTAATGCCTAAAACCCTGATTTCTGGGGGCTCTGCCCCCTGGATCCCACGCCAAATATTGTCCTACAAGTGTCACAAAATAATAAGGTATCAAAAAACGCTCATCTGACCGTAATGAAACACCTAAAACCCCTGAGCTTCCGGGGGCTCTGCCCCCTGGACCCAACCAAGAGCCCTAAGGCGGGCCCCTTGATATTCATCTGATCGTAATTGAGTGCCTTAAACCCTTGAGCTTCCGGAGGCTCCGACCCCTGAACCCCACGCCAATTAGTGACCTGCCAGTGTCAAAATTAGGTATCAAAATAATGGTCATCTAACCGTAATTAAATGCCTAAAACCCCTGAACTTCCGGGGCTCTGCCCCCTGGGCCCCACCTAGGGCCCTAAGGCGGACCCCTGAATGCTAATCTGACCGTAAATTATTGCCTTAAACCCCTGAGCTTCCGGGGGCGGACAAGGTATTATGTTCATCTGACCGCAGGCGCGTAGCCAGGGGGGTGGGGGTGAGGTGGTTCCTCCAAAAAAGAGAGGAGTGAAAAGGAAGAGGACGTAGGAAGAAAAGGGAGTAGACAAAGAACATTTTTGAAATTCAGACAGAGTTAAGAGTCGAGAACGGTAAAACGAATCGTCTTCTTTCTCTGATGATTTAATGAAACGTAAAAGTTTCGCGCGGGAGGAGGGAACTGAATTTAGACAAGGATTAAGAGTCGACAACGGTATCACGAATCGTCTACTTTCTCTGATGATTTAATGAAACGTAAAGTTTCCGCGCTTCGCGCGGAAGGGGGGAAACTAAATTCAGATGAGGATTATTTTCGAGAACGGTACAACGAATCGTCTTCTTTCTCTAATGATTTAATGAAACGTTAAAGCTTCCGCGCTTTGCGCGGGAGGGGGGGGGGAACTGAAGTTGGACGAAGATTAAGAGTCGATAACGACACAACGAATCGTCTTCTTTCTCTAATGATTTAATGAAACTTAAAAGCGGGAGGGGGGGGGGGAAACATAATTCAGACGAGGATTATTTTTGGGAACGGTACAACGAATCGCCTTCTTTCTTTAATAATTTATTGAAATGTCGAAGCTTCTGCGCTTCGTAGAGGAGGTAGGGGAAAAATCGCCCCTCCCTGCACCCCCCCCCCCATTACGTTACTGCTGGTCACCATTACGTACCAATATTTGGCTCGCATAATTTCAAATTTGGGCCTCCCCCCTAAGAAATCCTGGATCCGCGCCTGCACCATTACATTATCATTTTTAAAGTATACAATATGTTTTTGTATAGATTTTGTTGCACTGGTATGTACATCACTGCAGGACACCAAACATTTTCCATTTCCAGACATCTAAATATTTGTAAAACCATGACCCAGAATGAAATGATCTGATTGGAAATCAAAGATAAAGTGAGACTAAACATTATAACATTGCAAGCTTGTAAATAAATAAATCATTTATACACCATTCTTCAGTTAGTAGGGTTTGAAACTTACAGGACACCAAAGTTATGTACATATCACAAAAATTGTATCACATGTAAATGGAATAAGAAAGTAAATCATTAGGAATTAACTCCACAGAAATGTTAATTGTTACATAGATTCTACACCAAGATGAAAAAAACAAAACATAAGTTTTGCATCGCATTAGTAAAAATCTGGTAACCAATTAGTGCATGTTTTGAATGTAGCATTAAAAGTGCTGAAAATAGGCCTTTTTTCATCATAAAATTGCTTTGAAATCTTAAATTTGAACTCAATGAAGCTGAAACATTGTTTGGAGCTTCCCCAGATGATACTTTCTAATATAAAAATGCTAATGTGTGTCTGGGTCTCATGGTTTTGGATAATTGAACAATTTCCCAGTGTTCAATCTAAGTGTACCCTTGATCTGAGCCATGCACATAACACCCACATCTTGTTCAGATTTTTAAGTCCATACAGAGCATTATAATGGCTAAAGCTTCTAAATTCCGAAAGAAAATGTACATTTACACCAATGGTGTCGAGGGGCTCCTTCTTCGTGTTTTGTTCGGTAATGAATAAGGGTAATTTTTGTAGTTGTCATCATGGTCATGTACGCTAACTTCCTCGAAACCTGCCGTCCTAAAGACTGAGTTTTGCGAATCCTTATCAGCATAATACGTCGGCTCTTGCAGGAGCTGTAAGCAGGCGCGTACGCAGGGGGAAGGGGGGGGGGGAACAAAAAAAAAAATGATTGTGATAATGGGTAACCCAAAAAAGCTGACCTTACCCCCCCCCCCCCCCAACGAAACGAAATATCGATCGACCAAATTTTCTAATTTTGGGACACCCCCCCCCCCCAAATAATGCCTTCAACGGCCTTCCATAGAGTACGAACGACGCACGTCTATGACGTAGGAATAATGCATATTCATATATCCACTAAACTTGGTGCCAATATATGCTACCATTACGCACAGCTTGCGGTGAGAAGGAGTTTCTCACGAATGTACTGTGACATGCTTGAGTGATTTCTCGGACTTTTTTTCCCCGAACCTTAAAATTACAATGAATTGAAATATTCATTCCCTAGACAACGGGCAAGGTTAAAACGTCGATCGCTCATTTCGTAAGATATTTTTTACCCACGGTATAAACGTTTTGCACAGAAAAAAAGAATAGTGCACTTTAGCAGAGTGTAGCAGAGTGTAAAGAACCATGTCGACTTCGATTCCAAAGTTGATCACGGTGTTCGGTGCAACAGGAAGCCAAGGCGGATCATTGATTGAAGCTTTGCTCCAAGATGGGACATTTGCCGTACGAGGAGTGACCAGAAATACGAATGGTGATACTGCTTTGAAATTAAAAATAGGGGTAAGTATGATTTTTTTTTCGTTGTTGTTGTTGTTAATATTTGTCGTGTTTTCATATTACTATGTTTAAAGTTATGCTTCTCGGTCCACAGATTCGGATATTCGAAGGCATATGGTATTCATGCCTTCTTAGAGGGGGGGGGGGGGGGGATTAAGCGCTATATAAAAGCGGAATATTATTACTATATATTTTTACATTTTGTGTCAGGCCAGCCCCGAAAATTAAAAACAAAAGCCCTCATTAGGTATCGTAAATATATATGAATGCTAGTTTTGTGAGTTGTGATTATGTATCAATGTTATATTCTGCATTTTCTATTGTTTATTAATCCTTTTAGTTTAGTTTTTTTCTCTCATGCCCTCTTGATTGATACCACTGTTAGTCGATTGTTGTCATTGAATCAGTGAGAATGGAAAGAAAAAAAATTACCCTGGATAACAAGATCACCCCCGAATAAAGGAATGATAATAAAAAATAATAATAATAACAATGCATTTTTTTAAAATTGTCTTTGAAACTGCATGTTGCCAAAAGTTTTGCACGCTTGCAAATGTATCATCAATTCGTTGAATACCGCTGTTACTAATCTTGCAAAGGATTTCATTTTAAAATCAAAATCGTAGGAAAAAGGGGGAAAGAGGATAAAGGACAAATATATTCCCATCCGTCCCCAACCGTCGACTCCAGTACGGGACAACATTTTCGCTGAAATACGTGGATTAAAATCGGATGGGACGTTTAGTCCCCCCCCCCCCCCCCCTTGACGTTAAGATCCAGATACGCCACTGCCAAAATGTGCTCAAAAGTTCCAAATTACGAAATGCAAGTAGTAGTTTTGTGATGTAACAAGAACATTGACCGCTTTTAACGCTGGTAGGCCTTCGCACTAATTCAAGCCCCCCCCCCTTTTTTTGTCTTCTATTTACTTGTGTCGCCAAAGGCAGCCTCTCACAAAATCTTCGTAGGTACACGTTCACCGAGATCCCTTTGAAACATGTGTGATGAATTTAACATGTGTTTCAATGAGATGTCGGCGAACTTGGACTTAGGACGGTTTTGTGAAACAACGCCCTGGTTCCGAGGCGCCGTCTACACCCTTAGCTGGACGACGCTTCGTGAGACCGGCGTGAGACACGGCCATTCATTAGCATGAGGTCAACGTATTGCTTACAGGTTGTAAGAAAACAGGACAGTGTGTGATCGTGTATACAAAGTAAACAAATTTGACTTGTCTAATTGTGACGAAATTCACACTGCTGCCAAGCAGTTTCCCTGAAGAAGAAAAAATTGGAATCCAGTATCAAAACAACGGATGACACGTAGATCGGAAGTGAACTGGAACTCAGGGTAGGCATAACACATTTCACAAAATCAGTGTCGTTTTATGAAAAATCATTCAAGAACTACATCTCATATCATAGTAGACCAGCGAAATATTTTAAAAAGCTCAAGAAAAAGATTCCATGGCATTTTGAGGGTAATTTGTTCTCATTATTGTTGCTTATTTTGGAAGTGAATCTAGATTGTGTTCATGCATATCCACACAGGAAGATATAAACTTTATCTATCAAGAATGAATCATATTGTCACAATTATTTCATGAAAAGAGGTTAGATTTTTCCTGCAAATTTATGGGCAACAGTGTATTACTCATACAAGGTTCATAAAGAGTAAAAAAAGGAAATTAATGGATAAAAATATGACGTCACAAACTGATAACCATACTTTTTCAAACATTCATAACTTCCTTATTGGTAATCCGATTTTACTCAAACTTTTTTTTGATTGGTTTGTCTGACTTTTCTGCTTCTATTGAAAGTAATTTTTTTTTGGAGTGGACTTGGCTTTTAACATTTAGTAGACAAGCTTTTGTGCACCCCCGTGAACTTTCTCAAGCCAATTATTCACACAGTTTCTTGCTGCTGCATCGAGTAAAGATAACAACTGTAACGGGTGTGCGTGAACCTAAATAATCACTGGCAAATATCGAATTGTGGTATACCGATCCTTATGGAACGGTTTTGAATAGAGGCCTTTTACGATGAAAGTGTTTGAGCGCGGACGGCACTCTTTACTAACTAGTAACTATACTATACGTCTTTATGTGAATCAATCAATCAAACAATCAACGTACAATATTTATTTTCTTTGGTCCTCGTCCCAGGAAGTCGCACACCCATGTATAATTATACAAAACCTTGATGCCTTGAAATACAAATACAAAATTATTGTCTTTTCTCTTCTCACCCATTGTTAGGAAAGATGGGTCCAGTTGAAAGAGTATGCGTAATGATTGCACCACAGTGAATTATTATCTTTTGTCTTTGTTGGGGAAAATCGAACTCTTTATTCGTTTTGTTGAAGTATGAAGAGTACGTCGCACTTCGGCTCTTGGTTTTATTTACATGCCCTACTTCATTACAGTGAAGGATGTAGTCATTTCGTAATGTAAACAATGGCTAGAATCAAAGTTTTAGAAAAATGTCGAATATTTTGCAGCCTGCCAGTCGCCCCAATATGGAAAGAAATATTATGAATGGGAGCGCTGACCCATTGCCAAAGAAAGCAAAATAACATACGGTATTTCGTTGGCTGTCTCGAAGAATTTTTCCTGTAATAATTTCTTTTCTAAATTGTCAACTTATATTAAGTAAAAGCAAAAGATTATTCTCACTCAGGTAAATTATTCAAAAAATAATTGCTCAGTTGTGGAGCAGTTGTCTTTTTTAATCGTTATCTATATCGTTATTGTCGTCAGTCAAGAGTATAATCATATTATTATACTTCAAGCTATAGAGCTCATTTGAAAATGAAATATATAGATTCACGATCACAATGATTGCAGTGTTAAGAAACCAAGTTTATCCTATGAAACGATGATCGTAAGAAGAATATTAAATTTTGAAAATAATACTGATGATAACAAAGTATGTGGAGTAATGAATTATAATTTGAAATGTTTGTTTGTTAAATATTTGTAAAAATGCAAAAGAAAAAGAAAATCAAACAGAAATAAATAAATCAAATCAAATCAAATCAAATCAATTATGTCACCCTCCCGCAGCAGCCCTAATACTCATTTTGGTAGGTTCTTACTCTGGTTTTCCAGAAAATCACTTATAATTATCTAGAATTCTGTTTAAAGTATTTATGTAACTTCTTGTGAATAAAACTTCTCTATTTAATATTCTGAATAAGAAGCATATTCAGGTCTTCAAAATTAGTTTAAAATATCTTTCAGGTGTAGAGGTACTCTATGGTGACTATGATGACCATTTGACGTTGGATGATCTGATGGCTGATAGCTATGGAGTATACGTGGTCACTGGCGCCTATATTGAAAAGTTTTATGAGGACAAGGAGGTGAGGCGGGTGAGTTTAATTTTACAATTGTGACGTATGACTCCTGGCAAGGCATTTGCCGAGCTCAACCCAGGGGTATCACTCGGTTGTGTATAATAAAGGGTAGCTTGGCTAAAGCCAGCTGGGATAAATTATGCTCGTAATATGCGTGTAGCTTTTTATCTTTGTATAAAACCTTCTGAGAGACAGAGGCAGAGCGAGAGAGAGAGAGAGAGAGAGAGAGAGAGAGAGAGAGAGAGAGAGAGAGAGAGAGAGAGAGAGAGAGAGGGAGGGAGAGAGGGAGGGGGGGGGGGGGGAGGTGGTCATAATAGGGCAGCGGGATCATAGTCACGGATAAATTATTGTGCCCTCATCGGCTGACAAACCGAAATTGGGCGATTTAAAATTATTTGTTCAATTTTCGTATGAGGAATGGTCAGTTATTATATTTTTTAATTGCCCTATTTTTAGAAAAACTGTCCACGGTGTGATTATACAGTGTATAATAATTATGTTCCCATGGCGTACATTTTCACATGTTTGTTCTTCTGAGAACGAAATATATAACATGGACCTTATATAGAGGTATCAATTTACCCTCATTGCTTTTTATACCATTTATGTTTTCAGGGGCTTTCTTTGGTCCAAGCCGCCATCCGGGCAGGTGTCCAGCACTTCGTGTACAGTGGCCTACCGTCCTGTATGGAGGTCACCGGTCAGAAATGTCCGGAGTCTGAGGGAAAGTCCAAAGTAGAAGACTTTCTGTTTGCATCAGAGCTACCCTCCACTAGCCTCAGACAACCCATTTCCATGGAAAACATTCTCATTGATTTCATCCCTCTGCTTCAAGATGATGGCACCTTTGTTTGGAGTGAGTTAGTAGTTGATGTAAGAATATGGTGAAAACAGGCGCGTACACAGGGGGGGGGGGGGGGGTTTGGGGGGTTAAACCCCCCTTTGGTATTTTTGTTGTGTGCAAACCCCCCTTAACCCCCCCCCCCCATGGCTGACCTAAAAAAGCTGACCTCCCCCCCCCCCCCAACGGAGCAAAATGTTAAATTTTCAAATTTCGAGACCAAAAAAAAAAAAAAGTGTCCTCTTACCCCCCCCCCCTCGCTCATTCGGCGGCTGGCTGAGTCGTTGCGAAATTTTCGGCCCGATTTATAAATGTTAAACCCCCCCCCCCTTGAAAAAATCCTGCGTACGCGCCTGTGTGTAAATGACGTGTTAAAACTCATTTTTGATAATACCGATATCGGTCAGTTCTACACCCCTCTCTCCACTATCCCCGCATATATTCATATCCCCGTATATATTCATATATATGAACATATGTGACAATCTATCTATCTATCTATCTATCTCTCATTATTATGCATAATAGATTGTGTGCCGACAGATTTTTTTCTTTCTGGGTCTTTTAACTGGGGAGTACAATAGCTCCTTCATCATGTTGGATACCACTGAGACATGCAGCTTACTCTATTTTTTGTTAATGTTAAAAAAAAAATTTAAAGAAAAAAAAATCCCATCTCGTTACCTCTTTAGATATCCCGATGGAGGGCAATCCCCTGCCTGTATTGAACCCAGCTGATGATGGTCGAGCTATCCTGACAGTCTTTAAGAATCCTAAGGAGTACATCGGTCGTCGAATCGGGCTTGCAGGGGACTGTAAAACCATGGAGGAGTATGCAGCTATAGCATCCAAACATGTGACCCCTTTTGTCATCAAAGCAACTAAGGTAGGCATAATAGGATGCTAGAAAAACGCCCCACTCAACCTCCCCCCCCCCCCCCAGCCCCACAAGCAGAAGAAGAAGAAGAAGAAGAAGAAGAGAGAGAAGGAGAAGAAGAAGGAGAAGGAAAAGGAGAAGGGGAGAGAGAGAAGGAGAAGGAGAAGGAAGAAATAAAGGGGAAAAAGACCAAAAAATGACGGAAATGAGATTTATTTCAATATGAAAACTTCGAATTAGAATAGGGAATTATCAAACAATGTTTTCACCTTTGAAGTCTTTAACGACACAAATATGTGAGTGGGGAGGTTTGGAAGTAAGGCTCTTATTGGTTGTAAGATGTTCGCCCCCTCTTCTAAAGCAATTATTCTACCTTATTACATTATGATAGACAGACATATAGCCTAGTATTCATGAAAGCTAAGTTTAGTCCTTGATTCGTCAAAAAATTTGGATCGTCTAGCTGGAATATATACAGCCATGTCTTTGATTTGCTGTGCCTACATCTTTCCGTTAATCTTATCCCCCATTTTTAAAATTATCGATTGCCTAATCTAGATGACTGCCAGTGAATTCAAAAAGTTAGATTCCCCACGGGCTGCGGATTTAGGAGCGATTTTCCAGTATTTCCAGATGGATACTTCGGCTTACAGCCTAGGAAATACTAAACAACTGGATGCTAATTGTATGGATTTTGACTCTTTCATGCAAGTACATGCCGCCACACTAAAGGACCTGCTTGGATGTCAAAGTTACGACGAGACCACAATAAAAGAATCGAGATGTATAGGATTTCAGCCTGCAAAATAAGTTTCTTTTGAGTTACATATTCTTTTGGTGCATTTCGTCTTCCTTGAAAATTTACCAGATATAGAAAATAATTATTGCATGCACCTTATTTAAAGAAAAACAAATCTAAAGGTTTCTGTATAGTATTTCGTTAACAAATAACATAATGTATTACTAAGATTAATGTTACTGTAATATATTCTCATATTTCCCTCCAATTTTCTAGACTATATATTCCCTTAATGTATTTACTTGAAAGTAGGGACCTACTGAGTAGACCTACTATAACAATATTAAAAGGGATCTAATGTTTTCGATTTGTGAAACGTTGGGCTTTAGATTTGAGATTAATCTTAAAGAGAATTTTCCTTTTATAATGAACAAACCACATCAAGAGAATAAATATTTTCTCTATAGAAGTTTGTCATAAGTTATTTCCAAATTGAGAAAAATGAACTCTTGGAATTTGAGCTACTGATGGCGAGTGTCATCAAAACTTTTAAGGACTCGATTTTTAATATTTTCTAGGACATTGTTTGTCAGTAATACTAACATTAAGACTAAATTAAATTTCAAAATAATTGTTTTACACAGTCAAGTGGATGGCATACATACTCTGAATCAATGGAGATTAGATCTATATTAATTTTTTTTTCTTCTGTTTTTTAAATCAGAAATACTAAACATCACGGCGCTTTACAAATTACCTTACTTCACATTGACAAAAAACAAATTAATATGCATGATATATTATGTTGTAACCTTTAAGTGTGCATAATTTTGTTTTAATAATATATATATTTTCAAGAATGTAAAAATCGTCTATAATTACATTTTAAGCCTTAAGACCGTTTCTACCTCTTGTTAACGTGTGGTCATACTGATATTGATGCAGACTTTGAAACTGTCCGGAACTGAGGTGCTATTTGAAAAATAGTTACTTTAGTTATTACATTCATTTGCGGTTTCAAATTCATTGTGATCATTTCAGAAATAATGGTAATTTAGAATGGAAGATGAAAGGTAGCTCTTGGTAACATTTTCACCATACAACAAAAGTCGCAATGACTTTAAAGGGCAAGTCCACTCCAAAAATAACTTAATCTGCCAAGCCAATCAAAACAAGTTTGAGCAAAATCTAATAACTAATAAGAAAGTTATGAATTGTAGATGACATGAAAAACTCTGACAATCACAAGACAAATTGGCAACTCACTCATGAGTCTGTGACGTCATTGCCTCACTATCCACTAATTATTTTCTTTATATTGATAGGCCCAATATAAATTTCCTATTTCCCCCTAAGAATCTTATTTCTTCACACCAGGATCCAAGTTAGACTGAGAGTAATATGTTTTTATGTGGATGCATTAAATATAGAGTATTTTTTTTCAGTTATGAATATACAATATACAGAAAATAAAAACAATTCTTCAAAGTTCATAAAATATTTTGTGAAATGTCATGCACGCAATATGATACAAATAATATAACCTGGCCAAATGCATTGGGAAATCAAGTTTTGGGCCGGGGGATAAAAAGGGAAATAAATGGGATTAAAATATATAAAGCAATCGATAAATAGTGAGGACATGATGTTGCAAACTGATAACCGAATTGGCAATTTGTGTAGTGATTTCCATTGTTCCATGGTTGTACATACTTTTCAAAAATTCATAACTCTCTCATTAGTTATCTGATTCTGCTCAATCCTTTTTTGATTGGTTTGTCTGATTTATCTGCTTCTATTAAAAGCAAGTTATTTTAGGAGTGAACCGTAGGCAATTGTAGTAGCCGTGTGCGCCATCAATTGAAATGAGAGATCATAAAATCGAAAAAATATTATTTCATAATCCGAACGTTATGGCAACAGTCTAATGACATTGCTCTTCAGTTGTATTCATGTAAGTCTCCGACAGTTGTGGATATTTATCTAATCGCAGACTTCTACGACATTTTGACCATTAATAGTAGAGATTTATTTATTTATTTATTTATTTAAAATGGTTTATTTCATTAAAAAAAAAATTCGCGGCCCGAGAGCCGTTTTGCAGTTTCTTTTACAAGGTATACATCAGTGACAAAGTAAAAATACACGTAAAACATTATGCATGGTAGCATTATGGTAGTAAAATTGGAATTATTTTGTACAAATGATATATAATTATGCTTCAACGACCTTGGCAAATTGCTTGGTACATATACAGAAATTCGAATTGTATTACCATATTTGCAATAAAATGATATATTAAACTTATACAATACATGAATAGAAATACATTTTTGATATTCAAAAGAATTAAATGTTTTGGTTGGAAAATGCATAGCCAGATGGGTAAGGTATAGTTATGGTGTTTTCTTCAATAACAGGGACAACAACAGAAACCAAATCCAGGAATTATAAAGTCAAATAGATGCTCCAATCATTTAAACAGATTATACAAATTATACATTGTAAATAAAATGCAGAACATTTTGTATTTGGGCCAATTTAGTAAAAGGTACATGTAGAATATTGCATAAAAATATGGTAAAATAAGTTTCGCATACAAACATGGGTAAAAGGTTGCCATTGTAATATTCGATATAATGTGTATCATCTTGGGAATCGTTAAAAAGTCAAAAAGGATTTTGTACAATTAAATCTGATTTAGTTTAAAAAAAGTAAAATTCTATAACATTATTCAAAAATGCATTCACATGTCATCCTTTTATTTAGGAAGTTATCTAGAGTTAAATAGAGAGAGAGATAGAGAAAGAGAGAAAGAAAGAGAGTGAGAAGAAGGAGAGAGGGGGTGAGGGTGGGAGAGAGATAGGAAGAGATAGGGAGAGAAAGAGAGATAGAGAGAGAGGAGAGAGAGAGAGAGAGAGAGAGGAGAGAGAGAGAGAGAGGAGAGAGAGAGAGAGAGAAAGAGAGGGAGGGGAGACAAAGAGTGAGAGTAACAAGACAGAGAGCTAGAGAACAATTGGAAGCCATGAAGAGGGTCTCCCCGCTCCGCAGCACAGCACTGACAGAGAGGAGAAAATAGGGATATTGAGAGAGTGAAAGTAGTAGAGAAAAATGAATGTGTTCGTCAAAGGTGAAACTGGTAATTATTCAGTACTATGAGCGTTTAACAATCTGACTAGATATGGCAACGGACTGTTTCTATACCGTGTCGTTTTGCATGACATTTCAGTGAGCTTGCTTTTATTTCTCAGATTTCGAGAATGGGAGTCCCCACGTGTTTGGGGCAGCCAATGACTAAACTTTGACCCAGGCTCGAGCAGCTTCTTTGCAAATTTGAGGCACAGACATTCTCTGCGGTCACTCAAAGAGGACACTTTACACAGTTGAAGAGCGTTTTGATACGAGACAAAACGTGGCCCTAACATGAGGCGGCACGCTCGCTTTTGAATTCTCTCTATTTGTTCATTTTGTTTGGCAGACAAGCCGGAGTTCCAAACGGGCGCACAATATTCCAACACTGGCCTTATGTATGAACAGTAAATGAGGACTAGATCATCTAAGGGCAATCGAAATTTAGTGAGAACTCTCAGCATATGCAGCCTCATGTTTGCCTTCTTAACAATTTCATTGACATGAAAAGTCCATTTTAGATCTTTTTGGATGAAAACCCCTAGTAATTTGACACAATCTACTTGACTAATGTCATGTCCATCAATTTGGATGACAGGCGGTGGGGGTGGTTCACGCATGAAAGTTACTGTCATCTCAGAACACTTTTTGTGGTTCAGTTTCATGTTGTTGTCTAAGGTCCATTCTTGTAGGTTGCTCACACTTGACTGGATATTCGATGGCGATGGGGATTTCCTGCATTCTAGCATTGTTAGGTCGTCCACATATTTCCAGTAAGACGACGGTGACCTCCGGCATGCCTCGTTGATGATAGCCAGGAAGATAATGGGACCGAGTCTAGTCCCTTGTGGAGCCCCTGCAGAAACTTCCAGCCAATCAGAGAGCGTCGTTCGATATTTCACGCTCTGTTGTCGTTTGGTGAGAAAATTCGCTATCCATGCTACAGCACTCGGACGGACGTTCATCTGGAGCAGTTTGAGGACAGCTATATTGTGGTCTATCCTGTCGAACGCTTTACTGAAGTCCGTTGTCACCATTGTAGTAATGATTTTGGGCTTGTCAGCGTTGCTATGAATCATTTGTAGGAGATCAATCAAGTAGTGAGAGGTAGATATAGCCCTCATGTTCCCGAATTGTGCTGGGTCTATGGTGTTCTCCATGTCGCTGAAAGTCCACTTAGCAATGAACTTTTCGGCTATCTTGGCAAAATGATCAGTCAAAGATACTGGTCTCAGGTTATCGATAGATGCTTGAGATGTCTTGGGAATGGGAACAACATGCGCTCTCTTCCAACGCTCTGCCCTTACAAAAAAAATCTCTATGGTACACCATACAAACACCATAGCAAATCTACCATAGATTACCATACAAACACCATAGCAAATCTACCATAGATCTACCATTCATTTACCATAGAACTAATTAAAATAATTGGGACAAATTTATTCATTTATTCAAATTAGGCCACACCTACATATTCTACCATAGAGCCACCATTCATATACCATAGAGCCACCATAGAGTCATCATTCATTTACCATAGAGCCATCATTCATCTACCATAGAGCCACCATTCATCTACCATAGAACCACCATTCATCTACCACAGAGCCACCATTCATCTACCATAGAGCCACCATTCATCTAACATATAGCCATCATTCATCTACCATAGAGCCACCATTCATCTACCATAAAGCCACCATTCATCTACCATAGAGCCACCATTCATCTACCATAAAGCCACCATTCATCTACCATAGAGCCACCATTCATCTACCATAGAGCCACCATTCATCTACCATAGAGCCACCATTCATCTACCATAGAGCCACCATTCATCTACCATAGAGTCACCACTCATCTACCATAGAGCCACCATTCATCTACCATAGAGTCACCACTCATCTACCATAGAGCCACCATTCATCTACCATAGAGTCACCACTCATCTACCATAGAGCCACCATTCATCTACCATAGAGCCACCACTCATCTACCATAGAGCCACCATTCATCTACCATAGAGCCACCATTCATCTACCATAGAGCCACCATTCATGTACCATAGAGCCACCATTCATCTACCATAGAGTCACCATTCATCTACCATAGAGCCACCATTTATCTACCATAGAGCCACCATTCATCTACCATAGAGCCACCATTCATCTACCATAGAGCCACCATTCATCGACCATTCACTACCATTCAAAATACGCAACAAAATGTTACGCTTAATTGTAGCATTTTGAAATGGTATATTCAGAATGGTATTTTGGATCTTGATCTATGGTTAGCAGAATGGTGGCTGTAGTGCGTTCTATAGTACACAGAATGGTGACTATAATATATTGAATTTTTGAGAAATCTAAACTTAAATGTTAACTTACAATACACACATGATGCTTATTAAAAAAATGAATTGAATGAAAGTGGCAGGATGTATTTGGTTTATATCAAAAGTTGTATGCATGTACATATGCTAAAAACTAAAATAAAAGGCAAGTAAAAAATATATCACATAAACATGTACACTACAAACTAATATTACTTGGACTTATTCTACTAAGATGTAATAAATACCCACATATATATCACCCTAGTTCCTCTAAATAATCGGTTGAAAAGAAACAACTGAAATGTCATATACAGTGTGTACGTAAACATGACTAAAATGAAAGGCAAGTTAAAAATATATAAACATGTACAATAAAAACTAAGGCACTGAGTTGCAGCACAGGATTGTTCTAAAACATTGTATAAACATGTACAATAAAAACTCAAATGAAAGGCAAGTTCATAATTGCAACACATATTACTTGGACTTATTCTACTAAGGTGTAATAAATACCCCCATATATATCACCCTAGTTCCTCTAAATAACTAAAATGTCATATATAGTGTGTATGTAAACATGACTAAAATGAAAGGCAAGTTAAAAATATATAAACATGTACAATAAAAACTAAGGCACTGAGTTGCAGCACAGAAATGTTCTAAAACATTGTATAAACATGTACA